AATTTCCAAAAACGAAAAGCATTTAAAAAATACGAAATTACAGGAAGTTCACCGCTTAATGACTACCGTGGAGGGCCCCCACCCACCCACCCAATGTTTGTTCCTAAGCGAGATAGTCCATGCCGCGGTGGTTGTGTGAACCGCTGCCATTGTTTTAGTCGCCGGGTTGTCAAACGAATCTAGCTTCCCCGTTGACTTTGCTGGGTCAGAAGGTCACAAAAGGGACACAGCGACCGTCATAAAGAGGAGCCAGTTGCCAGCTTCCAGGCCGCAACGGTCATAAGTATGAAGAACGGTCGTAAGTCACTTCCCCCCCCCCAGTGTTGTCGTCAGGGTGCCAACAGATCTTTTTAGTTGGCAGTCGCAACTTTGAATCGGCGCTGAATGAATGGTTGTAAGTCAAGGACTATCCAGATTTCCCATCCTTGTTCTCACCCTGCATCGAGAGCGGTGCGGTGGCCTAGAGGTGGAGCTCTCACCCCACCATCCGGAGGCTGTGAGTTCGATCCTGGGCACAATGAGAATATATCTGCTGAAACAAAACTCCGCCCTGGCAACAGGAAGGGTATCCAGCCAGGAAATATTCCGCTCCATTCAGTTGCCCAGACTGCACCCCACAAGGGTTCATGAGTTCATTAAAAGTAGACGATGAGGATTCTTGTGCTGCGTCGCCTACACCAGCAGGGTGGAGAAGCACCTGTCAGCTGGGTGGAGGACGCTGATGTCCTCATTCCTGAGTCACCTTCGCCATCGTGGCTGTGTTCCAAGGTCTCCATCCTCGGTTGCGCATCTTGGCTCTTCGGCTGGCGCGCACGTGCCTTTAATCGCTTGCGCTGGTGCTGCAGTTTTCCCTTCGGTGCCCTTGATTGATGGAGGCTGCCAGTTCTGGCAGCTGGGCTGATGGGAAGTCTCCTTCCTCTGAAACTCCAGTTTGATGGTCGGGAACGAAGCCGGCTTTGCATCCCTTCGATTCTGATTTTGAGGTGGGGGGAATTGTTGAAGGACAGGAAGCCCAGCTCGAAAAAAATAAGATTTTTCTAGCCCGGAAGATGCACGCGATCTGATTTTTGTTTTAAGTTGTCTGGCCGCGATTATTAGAGGAAAAGCAGATGTCCACCTTCGTCTTCATTTTTCATGTTTTCGGATTTTATTACTGCAATTTCTTGGATTCCTTGTGGTGAGTCACCCAGAGTCGTTCGGAGTCGGCTGGCGTACAGGTTTCATAAACGATGGGTTGTCACACAATCAACCAGGTGTATAGATTGGATTTGGCTTTTTTTTTTTTTTTTTTGGTCCATTTCTACAGTCCTTTCCAAGGACCTGGGAGAGCCAGGCATTGTTTGATGGTTTTGAAGGTCTCCTCACAGGATGTAAGCTGTTTGGAGTAAAGCTGCCTTTCGCAATTGACTGATGGTGACTTTGTCAATTCCCATAGTGCTCTAGATGTTTTGGCAGCTATTAGTAGTGGTACTTTGCTTTTTTTTTGCCACAGTCAATCTATTTCTACTGAATAACAGAAAAGAATAATAGAATAAAACAACAGCTGAATGAAAAACTGCTGGTGACCTTCTACCGCTGCACCATAGAGAGTATCTTAACTTACTGCACACCTGTGTAGGGTTTGCCACTTGCACAGGGGCAGATAGGACGGCACTCCAGAGGGTTAACGTCATTGCCCAGAGGATCCTGGGTTGCCCTCTCCCCTCTTTGGAAGAGCTTTATAGCTTCCGCTGCCTTAAGAAAGTTCAAAACATTCTCAAAGATCCATCTCATCCTGGGCTCCCCCTTTTTTTGAACTATTACCATCTGGCAGACGGTACAGAATAATAAAAACAAGGACAAACAGGCTGAAAAACAGCTTCTATCCCAGGGCAGTAACTCTATTGAATTCTGCTCTATAGTGCAGTGTTGGTGCGGTGTTGGGGGTTTCCGGTTCAACGTGTGGAGGGTGAAGGATGTGTGTTTGTGTTTATTTTCATGGTCGTGATATGCACTGAAGATGGTGTTTGATTTTGTTGTACGAGGTGCAGTGACGATAAAGTAAAGAAAAGAAAAGAAAAAAATAAAATAAAAATAAAATAAAAACAGAATAATGGAATAACAGAGTTGGAAGGAAGCTTAGAGGTGTTCTAATCCAACTTCCTGCTCTGGCAGGAAACCCTAACTCTATTTCAGACAAATGGTTGTCCCATCTCTTCTTAAAAGTACTTGCAGGGCTGCCCCAAAGAAGATGGCGTCAAATTATTCTCCCAAACACTGGAGGGCAGGACCAGAAACAATGGTTGGAAACTAATCCATGAGAGAAGCAACCCTGAAATTAAAGAGAAACTTCCTCACAGTGAGGACAACGAACCAGTGGAACTTCAGAAGTTGTGGGTACTTCATCGTCGGAGGTTTTTAAGAAGAGACTGGAAAGCCACTTACCTGAACTAGTATAGGTTCTCCTGCTTGAGCAGGGGGCTGGACTAGAAGACCTCTAAGAACCCTTCCAACTCATTCTATTCTAAAAACTTCCAGCGTTGGAGCATTCGCAACTTCTGGAGGCAAGTTGTTCCACCGATTTATTGTTCTAGCTGTCAGGAAATTTCTCCTTAGTTCTTCTAGGTTGGGTTCTCTCCTTGTTTAGTTTCTATTTTCTATTTGCTGGTCTTTGTATGTTGTTATCTTCTTTCTATTCTGCTCTCTCCAGGCATTGCCGTGTTCGCTATCTGGATTATTTCATCTTTCCTTGTTAACAATGGTTTCAGTCTGTGGCAAATGCTTGCCAGTTTATTATTATAATTATTATTTGTGTTTCCCCTTCGTTGAAATGTCTTCTCCCAACCTATATGTAGCGCTGAGATTTGAACCAGCAATTTGTCTTTCAGGCATGATAATTACAGCCACCATCTTGGAACTTATGTGTACATGGAGTATGGTTAGAGCTAAACTATAATTTATAATTTACACAGGAAAATCCTAGGTATAGAGACCACTGCAACGAACTGAGCCAGACCTGAACAGCTCATACAATAAGTCAATGGACACAGATGCTTTCATTCACTTTTCTGACATGGGACCTGTTTCTAAGTTACGCAGATGTTGCAGGAATAAATGCCTTATTGCTGGATATATATTTTTTATACGTCATGCTGCTTGTAGAGGCACACGGTTGCAAACAGGGAGAGGGATGGCTTCAGTTATGTAGATGTTTTAGAACAGAACCAGGATGCAATGGATAAAGATGGTGACAGGGTGAAGTTTTTAATCGTTTTCTATATTGTTTGTTTGTTTTTTATGTGGTATGCCATCCAGAGCCTTGCAAATCTTAAAAGCAAATAAATAACACAAACCGTATGGCAACCAGGAAATTCTGTGAGAACGTGTCCCAGAGAAATAACCTTTTGATTTATTACCATGCCTTGTGAAATATAAATTTTAAAAATGTATTCCATAGTAATTTGAGCATTCAGGTTGCTAGCCCTCAGGATTTGGGGTAACATGTTTGAGACAGGAGGGAGAAGGAGGTTTAACCACAATAGAACAGAATGAATGAGCTGGAAGGGTCCTTGGAGGTCTTCTAGTCCAGCCCCCTGCTCAAGCAGGAGAAACTATACCATTTCAGATAAGTGACTGTCTACTTTTCTTAAAAACCTCCAGTGATGGAGCACCCACAACTTCTGGTGGCAGGCAGTTCCACTGGTTAATTGTCCTCACCGTTAGGAAGTTTTTCCTTAATTCCAGGTTTGGACCCCCTCTTCTTTGGGGCAGCCCCTCCAATACAAGAATACTGCTATCATGTCCCCCCTAGTCCTTCTTTTCTCTAGATTGGCCCAACCCAAATCCTGCAACCGTTCTTCATATGTTTTAATCTCCAGGCCTTTGATCATCTTAGTCGCTATTCTTCTCTGAACTTTTTCCAAAGTCTCAACATCTTTTTTGTGGGATGGTGACCAAAATTGGTTGCAAAATTGGTTGTCTTCCAGGTGTGGTCTTATTAGGGTTTTATTTTATTTTTTAATAAACTTTATTAGTCTTTTATGTCTTTTTTTAAAAAAATCATTACATTAACAGTTCTATGACATCCATCTCATACCTTTCTATCTTTTGTGCTTATTTACAGATATATATAATTTGTGCAAATATATACATTTAATCTATAGATTGCTTATCTTAAATTCCTTCATTTTCCTTTTTTTTCCCTTTTAAACTATACTTTATTAAACTTTTATTACATTAAAAACCCCTAAACCTTATTAGCGTTTTAAGTTGACCACATGCGGCGGGAGGAGAGGAGGCAGTGTTTCTCAAATCTTAGAAATTTAAGATGGGTGGACTTCAACGCTGAGAATTCCCCAGCCAGCATGGTTGCCAAGTTTGAAAAATATTTTTGAAGCGTAGCAGTTTTCTATTCCTACTAGCTCGATATCCATGCTTCACTACGAAACTATGTGATTGGGCTTAGTTTTTGGGAAGGAAAATAAGGGGGGGGGGATTGAACCTCTGCCTACTAGCATCCATTGGTATTCATCTGCCTAGCGTCTTGTCAGTGTGTGAGAGAGTTGAGGACTGTTTGGAAACTGAAACAGTATTTGCTGTGTGAGCAAGGAGACAGCAAGGAGTCTGGGCGTGGCTTAGCTCAACTGTTCTGTAGTAAAGCTGCTTGGCGCTCTGAAACTGAAACTGAAACTCCTCTCCTCTGCTTGTGTTTTGCATTTGGAGCAGATTTCTTTTCAGGTGGGGAGGGGGAGTAGAACTCCTTAGCATCAGAGCGTGTTGATAATAGTAATATACAAAATACTAATGCTCTGGATGGTCATTTTGAAAATTCCTTTCTTAGTGAGCACCTAGAAGCCAAGAGGAAGATAAGTGCCAAATTTCAAGTTTGTAAGCTTTACGGTTCTGGAGATTTTGTGATGACGTGTGAGGGGTATTACGCTTTTATATGGAGAGATTGGAATTCTAATAGGAGTGACCCTAGAATATGTATAATTCTGAACATATTTTTTTTTCTCCCTTAGGATGATGAGGTTGTCCTTCAATGTTCCGCCGTAGTCTTCAACGAACAGCTGAAGTTATGCCTGGCTACCGAAGGCTTTGGAAATCGGCTCTGTTTCCTGGAACCTACCTCTAATGCTCAGGTGCGTATTGAGGCAGGTGACTTAGGTGTGAGCCTGGAAAGGTGCAGAAACAACAGCTTAACCTGCCCTCCCTGGCCTGCGTCCACCTGCTTTCATACTGGGAATTAGGTATTTGAAGTCTATCAGTCTAGAGAACTTGGCTTTCTTTCCATGAATGGATTGGCCAGATTTGACCAGGTTTATCATTTATATCTTCATTAGATTTTTTTTTTATCCTGCCTTTATGATTTTATGAGTAACTCAAGGCAGTGAACATTCATCGTACTTCTTCCTGGTTCTGTTTGCCCCGCAAGAACCCTGGGAGGTAAGTTGGGCTGAAAACGAGGGACTGGCTCAAAGACACCTAGCCGGCTTTCATTTCTAAGGCAGGACTAGAACTCTCCGTCTCCTGGTGGTTGGCTCATAGTCACCCAGCCAGCTTTCATTCCTAAGGCAGAACTAGAACTCACCATCTACAGTACTGCTGATTGGCCTAAAATGACCCAGTTGGCTGTCCTGCCTAAGGCAAGACTAGAACTCACTGTCTCCTGGCGATTGGTTTACAGTCACCCAACTGCTTTCGTTGGCTAAGTTGGAGCTAGAACTCACCGTCTCCTGGTGATTGGCCCAAAGTCACCCAGCTGGCTTTCATAACTAAGGCGGGATTAGAACTCATAGTCTCTCGCTTTCTAACTGGGGTCCTTAACCACTAGACCAAACTGGAATCATGGCTAAGTCTTTCGATGAGCTTGCGGAGGTTTATTTTCTACTTTGGGTTGTGGCCAGGTGGTTGTGGCGGCAAATCGGGTTGTAAAACTCGGTCAATAGAAACCACCCCTAGTTTTCTATCCCTACACAGAAAGTCCCTCCGGATCTGGCAATATGCTGCTTCAGTTTGGAACAATCCTTGTCTGTACGAGCTCTTCAGGAAATGCTGGCCAATACTGTGGAAGCCGGGGTTGAGGTAAGAAGGGGGACAAAATTTCCTTCCTTCGGGGGCAGTGAGTTAGAAGGGTGGCTCTTGGTGTGGCCTCCTTGAGATCAAACCATGGATGAGAATGTGTGTGTGTGTGTGTGTGTGTGTGTGTGTATTCAAGAGAGCTACAGCTATCTTACTAGGGCCGTGATGGCGAACCTATGGTATGTGTGCCAGAGGTGGCACACAGAGCCATTTGTGCCAAACTTACCTGCACTGCGTATGCGCGCTCCCAGCTAATTTTCGGCGCATTTGAGGCCTTTTTCGCCCTCCTGGAGGTTCGAGGGAAGCCTCTGTAGCCTTTGGAGGCCGAAAAATGGGCCTTCCAGAAATACCAGAAGTGCTGAAACCAGAAAGTGCTGAAACGGGCCCATTTTTCAGCCTCCTCAATGCCAGAGGAACATTTTAATTAACACGACAGGGTGGTCTGGTACATGTGAATAAATGTTGTTCTGTAGAAATATGAGAGAGTCTTATCCTTAATTGGGAACCTTCTCCATTAGGAACTCTGGGCACAACCTCAAAATTTAAGCCTTCGCCTAAACGGCTTTAGTGGGGAAGCAAAGTTACTAATTTCTTAAAGGTGCTACGTCAGGGAAAGCAGAAATCTCAGAGCTGTATCGAAAGAAGAGGCACCTCCTGGCCAGTTTGATGTCTGCTTCTCAGGACAGCTGGTGGAATGCAAAAATATTCCCCCTCTAAAACTGCAAGGGTGGAAACCCCAAGATCTGCTCCTGGGTGTTACTTCCTGGAATGGATCCCATTGGTCCCCACTGGAGAGGCTGAGCCTGTGTCCTGGCTACGTTCTCCGTTTTCTCCCAGTGGGGCGAACCCAGGGGTGGGCTGCTACCCATTTGGCCCATTGGGACGAACCCACATAGCTAACCGGTAGCGAATTTTATGGCCGGTTTCAGTGAACCGGCAAATCTCAACCCGGATTGGCCCCACCCCACCCCTCCCCTCACAGGAATCTCCACATGGCCCATTTTGGGGATCCCAGGTAAGTCCAGGGCGTGGACGGAGGCTTGGGGAGGTGGAAAAATGGGCCTCCCCGAAGATCCGGAAGACTGGAAACCGGCCCATTACTGGCTTCCAGAGGGCCTCTGGAGCCTGGGGAGGCCATTTTCCCCCTCCCAGAGGCTCAAGGAAAGCCTCCGGAGTCCGGGAAGGGCAAACACACACACACACACCGCCATGATGCAGGAGGCCTAGTAGGCCACACCCCCCATAGCCACGTCCACCCAGCAACCGGGCAGAGAATAGGTTGCTAAAAAAAATTTAAAGCCCACCCCTGGGTGAACCCAATGGGCATCTTGAATGATGAATGAATGGAAGGTGTGTGTGGGGGTCCTTTTAAGGGGTGAAGGGAGACCCCCAGCAAGCCTCGGGTATCCCGCGATGCCCGTCGGCCCTGAGTAATCCTCGATGGTTCATCTTCTCTCCTTCTTCTTTTCTTTGGCTTCTCAAATCTGCCGACTGACCCGCTAGGGTGTTGACTTGGACAAGTGGGTAGGTGCTACCTTCAGTCGCTGCCGTGATCCCACCTCCTCATGCCCTTCCTTCTAAACCTTTCCCACCCACCCCTTCCCTTCTCCCAACCAAGTTTTGGTGTGTGCCTCCCAGTTCCCATTTTCCTCCTCGGGGTTCCCACCTCAAATGTGACCCGTTAACAGGCAAGTGACAGGTTTTGAGAAGACAGCTTGATTTGCCGTAGGGCGGTGGCCTGGGGTGGCCATTCTCCAGGTTGTAACAACCCGTTCGGTGATCGTGCAATGTGCACATGCGTGCGAGCGCAGCCCTTGAGTAACACAGCTGAGAAACGGCAATCCGCTGTGCTGCGCGGATCAGCCGAGATATAGGTAGTCAAGGCACCGGGGCAGGGCGGTGGGCCCATATGATTGTCGCAGCAAAACGGTTCACCGCTAACTGATTTTCGGAGCCAGGGGTTTCGGCCGAACCGCTCCAAACCAGTAGAATCCCACCCCTGCTGGTGGGGCGTTAACCTAAGAAGGACCCAAGTTGTTTTGTTTTGAAGGGCATTCCAGGTTGTTCACGTTATGTTCAGGGTCGAAGGCCCATTTGGGAAAGAGCGTTGAGATGCCGTGAAGGATCAACTGGCCATATTAAGTACCTTCAAATGGGAAGAGAGGCATCCGGCCTCAGAAAACCCTCTTAACTCCAACTCCATACAAACAGGAGTTCTGCTCCTTGAGTGTAAGGACAGGGGGTGTCAAACTCAAGGCCCGTGGCCCCGATCCAGCCCACGGGACCACCCTGAAACAGCGAAGGACCCACCTGCAGTGTCTCCGCCAGCAAAAGCAGAGTTCGTAAGGGCTGAATGCGGGCTCTGTTTTCGCTGGCAGGAGGCCATTTTCCCTGGCAAAACCCTCGGGCCACCACAGATGCCCACAACACGAGTGGTGTTAAGGTGGCCACCCTGGCACACCCCTGAGATCAAAAACGTGTCCCTCAATGAAATTGAGTTTGACGCCCCTGGTGCAAGAGAAAGAGTGGAAAAATCTGGGGGTGGAGTTAAAAGAGCGACCAGCCTAGCATCCTTACGTAGTCAACTAAGTCCAACCTCCCTTGAATTCCATTCAGGCACAAGAAACCAGGAGCCAAGAGAAGAGTCCAGAAGCCCTGAATATTTTACTCCCTGCAACCTCTACCCAAGAACCTGATCTAGAACGGTTCATTCAAATTGGCGCCAGATAAGAATCAATGGACTTTAAAGGGGGGGGGGGGGCTAGACTTAGATCTCTTTTGGGGGTGTAGGGATTCCAGACCAGTGACGTGGCTTATCTCACCCTTGGGTTCAGCCTGGTCATCTCCCATAGACCCTTATCTAATTCCAAGCAGGTGCTAATCCTTCCTTGAGAAGATTCCTTTGCGTTGGCACGATTAGCAATACATCAGTTTAATTGGATTTTAAAATGTGGACCTGATCTTCCACGCCTGACAAAGGGGTTCCCAAATAGTGAAGATGCCTTCCTTCTAAGCCATGCTAGCCATCAGCTACCATACAGATATATTGAGATACATCTCCTAGAACCGAGCCAGCATTCTCACCAAGGAGGCAGGGTTTTTTATTTTACGTTCTGTCCCATTGTCCTCCTGTTCCCATTCCCACAACTGCCCCACAAGCAGCTTCTCCTTCAGGTACAAAAGCTTTGGAGCAGTTGGGGATTCCTACGAAAGTGTAGGAGAAGGGTCTTCCAACTTGGCAAGTTTAAGGCTTGTGGACCTCAGCTCCCAGAATTCCTGAGCTAACATGACTGGAGGAGGAATTCTGGGAGTTGAAGTCCACCAGTCTTAAAGCTATCAAGTTTGAGGACCTCTGGTGTAGAGCAATGTGACGGTGAAATCTGGGTGGGCTTTGCCAACCCCACAGTTCTTAGCAATGGGCCTTCCTTGTAGAAAACCAGGTGGGATCCCCCTTGTCCTCTCCCTCCAGTAATCTTCCTCTCCCTCCTTCTTACCTCCTCTTCCTCCTCCTTCCTTCTTCCATGTTTTCAACCCATCTTCCTTCCCATTGGACTTCTCCACTGATGGTTGTGGTTTCCCAGATTTGACCCTGTGTCCTCTTCTTATTTCATTGCATGGTTCCTCTCAGTGAACTCCTGTTTCCTTCTGGAAAACCCTTCACTGTGTTGGGTGTAGAGCGGAGTGTGACGAAAGAAACATGCTGGTTTGCACTTGACAACGGAGGGTTGGGAGGGAGAAACGCTTCGCCCTGGGATGGGCCGTGGTCTGCCCCATCTTACTCACCAAAATCTTCAACCCAGAAGCAACTTTATGGGTTCCAGAACAGCCTTTCTAAGGGGACCCATCTTGGCTCTCGTCTTATTCCCCCAACCCCATTCAAGTTTTGGGGAAGAACATCCATGAAATTCTAGTTGACAAGCAACCCATGTTGAGCCTGCCAAACGGGAACATCGGTTTTCTTGCTGCTTTATTGGGATAAAATGGTGGTGGGGAAAAAAACAGACGCAGCTGTTGGAAGAAGGAACTGTTTACAAGGTAGCTAAGCTAGGAGGACATGAATCCTGCCCTATTCTAGATCATTTGACCCCAAGGAAAAGAAGATTAAAATTCTGTGTCGTACAATAATTTGAATTCTGCAGTAACAACTGCAGGCTTGTATGGACTACAGGTGCTCTGTCCTCAAAGCTCTTGGGGTTGTGGCCTCTATCCCAATAAACTGGACCTATAGGCCTACTATGATGGCTACATGGCAGTTGGGTCCCTGCTCATGTGATGTGAGTTTTCTGGTTGTAAGAATACATGAAATGATCAAGACGTTCCTGAGTGTGTTTTGGAGCTTTTGACTTTTTTTTTTTTGCATTTTCTGCTGCGAGTCAGTGATCTGGTCACATCTGTGCAGACACAGCTCAAACAGATCCATCCTTTCAGGATGTCACTTATTGTATGCCCCTTGAGATATAAGATGCAGGAGTTGAACTCTTCCCCTGTTCCTCTGCCTCACTGCTGCCAGACTCCGAAGGCTCCAGAGTCGGCACATAACTCCCAGATGGCCCTGGCCCCATCTCTGGATCGGACGCAGGACCATCGTCCGAGTCCTCCCCAGACTCACCGACTGGCCCATGTTCCTCCACACTGTCCGACTCTGGTGCTGTCTCCGCAGGCTGCCGGCGGACCACAACAATGTGTGTCCGTTGTCAAGCATCCGGAGGCACGGTCGTAAGTGTGAACACCGGTGATAAGTCCTCTTTTTTTTAAGTGCCTTTGTCACTTTGAGCAGTCACTAAACGAACAGTTATAAGTCGAGGACTCCCGGTATATTGTTCCTGATCACTGCGAAATCAAGATCAAGACAAATATCAGATTTTCGTCTTGGAACTGGATTGCAACTGCTGCATCAACATACCTAGGAGGGCATACAAAGACTCGGCTGAAATGTTAGTGAGGGGGAAGGATTTGCAATTGGTCTGGCCCAACGTAGCTACACAGTGGTGGAAAGAGCCAAGTAGCCTTTCCTCCCCTCCCCCCAACTAAGCATCTCCGCCCCTTTGACTTGGGTGAAAAATGCGGTTTTGGCTGTGGTGTTCGAGTTGCAACTCCCAAGTCCGTTTGGCATCAAATGCTTAGTTGCTCCAGAGATACTCTTCCATCCCTTCTAAGAGATAGACGACCTATGGTGTTATGTGGGGGATGTCTCATGTGGAGATGAGCACATAACTTACCGGGACTGTCTCTTATGGAAATTGTCAAATCTGTGCTTCCATGCGTGCCACACAGGAAACCAATGGTTGGGTTGCTTAGCCTGGTTGGTAAGGAGAACTTGGGCCTACTCCATGGTGACCTTGAATGGTAGCGTGTCTGGTAAAAAATAAATAAATGGGGGTGTCTCTTGATTCTTGAAGTCATCCCACAATTTTAACGTCTGCTTTCCAGACTCTTGCGAAGTTAAGTAGGTCTGCCCGAGTCAAATATAAGTAATTGTGTTCTTTACTACAACGTAACGTAGACCTGGGCACTCTACGGCCCGCGGGCCACAACCGGCCCTTTGGCTGTCCCTGTCCGGCAGTGGCGGCAACAGCAGGGGTCCCTATTGGTTCAGCCCTCCACAATGGTCCCATTTTCACAGGTGTCCCCTTGTGAAAATTAACTGCTAACTTGTTGAGTTGAAGAAATGACACCATCAGTTCGATCTTGGCTGATCTTACAAAGCTAAGCAGGGTCAGATCTGGTTTGTCATTTGGATGGGAGATCAGCAAGAGCTCCAAAAAAACACCCACAATGGAAACCTATATTGTTGCCAAGAGAACTCCATGGACACCCATGAACTAACCAAGGGTCAAGCTTGACTTAGAGATGGTTGCCATCTTAACCTTTTGGTTAGTAGGTTTCAATCCTACCTCTGAACGTCTCGCCTTCTTGTTTGGTCAACCACGAGGTCTAGGATCTTGTCTAGCCCAAAAGCTGGTGATCGTTACTGTGGGATGGGTGCATGGATTTTGAGCGAGCTCCAGGTTGAACGTTCCCACAGGTAAGGCTGTCAAATGCCTTTTTTTTTTTTTTTGTGATTTGGCTTTGTCTTTTGCCCTTGTCATCCTCCAGTCCTCACAAGGCGGTGGACATCGGACTCTGCTGTATGGACACGCTATTCTTCTCCGGCATTCCCACAGCGGCATGGTAAGTGGGGGGGGGGGATTCAAGGAAGCCGTGGATTCTGACACGGGGGCAGGGGAAGGCTGGGGAGCTTCGGCACAGGGTAAAGTGACTCTACACAAGCCCAGTGTTCTGACCCAAACCTGGTTCCGAGAGAGCAAACACGGGACAAAGGTAACCGCACAACCTTTTAATATTTCATTTACAAATCCCGTTCCTTCACGGATAAAAGGCTGCTTCCAACTAATGAGCTCCGATAAGTGCCAAGAACACCAGATAAAGTTGTTGTAATGACGAGGCAGTCGAGTTGTTTGATCATGATCAACTGAATCATGGTGAACTTTATTGGAGTCTAGTCTTGCATTTATACACATTTTAATTATCCTCCAACATTGGTTAACTTTGGTTACTGCTTAAATTTCGTTACTGTTTAGCATAATAGTAATTAACACAATTAATTATCTCTAGTTAAAGTCTAACATGTGTTTACTTCCTCTCTCTAATCCTCCTTTAGATTAGTGACTTTGTTTGCCTGAGTTGTATTTGCTTGGAAACATTCTTTATCTGAGGTTTGCCATCCGAGATAGGAACGTTCCTGCAATTACAACTCTACATAAAGTTACTAAACAATAAATCAGAGAGACTCCAAATACCAACTCAGATATTCTTAACGCCCACCAGGCTCGAGTATCAACCTTCTTTGCCTTCTGCAAAGAACTGCGGTTTCTCAGCTGGCTTTTATCTTCTCAGGGAGGGGCCATCACCTTGCAGCCTTACTCCCGAGTTGCCCATGCTGCTTCGGCTGCTCTTTCCTTCGAGCAGCCCTGCGCGCACTGGGCACAGGCTCCTCGGGGGCCTCTTCCTCACTGCTGCCAGCCTCCACAATCTCCAAAGGCAGCATTCCACTCCCTGATGGTCCTGGCCCCCTCCCTGCCTCACACGCAGGGCCCTCATCCGAGTCCTCGCTCTCCAAGACCTCAGCCGTCCACACCTGCTGCCGGCGAACCACAACCCCCAGTGGACAGTGGCAACCGGGGCCATTTTGGGTCAAAGCCAAGCAGGGTTTATTTTCAAACCCTGAGTCATAAGTTCTCTACCAAGGAGGGATGTAAAAATTGCAAGGCATCTCAAAGGAAGGCTTTGAGGAGACGGGACATAGTTCTCCGCCAAGTCAACGTCAAGGTTTGAAAAGGCTGGGAGAAGTTCTGGAGGCCGAGTCGAAGTTCTAAGTAAAGAAGCTGAGGTCATCTGAGGTGGGGCGTTGCTGGCTGTTCCTTGCCTTCTGTGTCACCGTTCCTAGGAGGACCACAGCTACGGAGGCTCACCACCAGAAGAAGGCCTGAATTGGTCACCTGTCCACTCATAAAACATTTCTATGCCCGTTTTAGGGTTGCCACGAACAGAAGTGGGAGGCAGGGGGAGGGAAGGACATTCAAAAGAGCAGCACAGCAGTTTGGAACCGAAAGTGCATTCCATTCTTATCTTGCAAAGGTTGTAACTAAGCGACCACGCAAATCTCTTAATTGGAGAATGTGATTGATGACTCTCGGCTATGAACGTGTTTGTTGGAGAATATGAATTATGATGCACCCCAAAGGGGTGGGGGGTGAGGGGAAACCAGGGTCCAGGGTGGCCGTGAATTACATGTCTCAGAATCAGCTTCAAACAGGTCCTGCCGGCATGTTCGCTCCTAATAAATTCTTCGTCGTTTTTGAAGCTTGGCTCGAGGCTCGTGATTTAATGAGGGCGATCACCGGAATCCTGGCAGCAATCCGATTCTGAGACACGTAATTCACTTTTAGCCAAGCAGGGGTTTGCGTTGGCTGGAACCACTTGCTGGAGACCGTCCCCCTTGCTACTACTTGGATTCAATAGCCCAGAAGGAATTGACTGCTGGTGGACGTTGCAATCAACTCACTGGATAAGTTCGGACCTATCTTCTCAGAAAGTTCTGCCTCCAACCTGTGGCTGGTACTCAGGATGTGATTTGACTACCTTTCGGGGTTCCAAAGACGACAACGGTTTAAGGAGACCGCAGAGATGATGTTGGAAGGACCAACTTTTAATACAAATCCTTTTTTAAGGAGTGCAAAGAGTAGAATTCCCATCAACCTATGTTGCTTGATGTTCATCATGGCAGTGGAGACTAAGTGAAGATTTCGGGCATGTCATCCTGCGAAGGGGAGCAGAAATGGGACATTGGAGGTGGAATATATAGTACCAAAATTCACAGACCAGGAATAAACAACTACTGTTGATTAAAGTCAAAAACGGGTGGGAATCCTCTTTTTAATATATATAGATAAATTTATTGTCATTGTACTCAGAACCTGAGAACAATGAAATAAGGTGCTCTTTCACAACATACAACTGAACAACACCAAAAAACATATACAAATAACAATGTAAAACAAATTAAAGCAAATAACAGTTATATCTTCTATAAAAGCGAAATACCACTCAGGCATCATCACAAAATCTCCAGAACCGTAAAGCAAACTTGAAATTTGGCACATATTGGCTTCTAGGTACTCAGAAAGGATTTTTCCAAATGACCATCAGAGCATTAATATTTCCTACATTATTATTATTCACAGGCTCTGATGCTAAGGAGTTCTGTTCGCCCTCCCCACCTGGAAAGAAATCTCTTCCAAATGCAAAACACAAGCAGAGGAGAGGAGTTTCAGTTTCAGTTTCAGAGCACCAAGCAGCTTGAGTACAGAACAGTTGAGCTAAGCCACGCCCAGGCTCCTTGCTATCTCCTTGCTCATACAGAAAATACTGTTTCAGTTTCCAAACAGCCCTCCAACTCTCACAAACACTGACAGGATGCTAGCCAGATGAATACTAATGGATGCTAGTAGGCAGAGGCAGAATCCCCCCCCTTATTTTCCTTCCAAAAAAATAAGCCCTACCACATAGTTTTGTAGCGAAGCACAGGTACCGAGCTACTATATATATATTTTTTCATCCTGCACTTAACTCAAGGCAGCAAACGGACATAACAATCTCTCTTCCTGTTTTTGAACCCTGGTTATAGTTTCGCTATCGCAAAACCCTACTATAGTGTTTTCTCAACTTTGCCAATTTTAAGACAAGCGGATTTTGACACACTGGCTGGGGAATTCTGGGAGTTGAAGTCCACTCGTCTTAAAGAGGCCAAAGTGGATTGATTTAAAGGCAGTCTAAACTCCCACCATACATTACTGGAACAACCTCAACCTAGATTTCTTTGTCTGAAACATAAGTAGCGTCAACCAACTCCCCACCCTTGTGGCCAGTCCTCCCATTGTCCAGACCAGGGGTGTCCAACTTAGGCAACTTTAAGACCTGTGGACTTCAGTTCCCAGAATTCTCCAGTCAACCATGCTGGCTGGGGAATTCTGGGAGTTGGAAGTCTTAAGAGTCGCTAAGGTTTGACATTCCTGGCCTAGGCTATTTTTTTGGGGGTAATGATTTTTGTATTTGAGATAAGTAAACCAGAAATCCTGGCTTATCCCTCAAACAGGAATCCTGGCTTATTATATCCTTTCTTCTTCCCAACGTTTAGTATTTAAGCTGCCTGACCACCTCGCGTTCCTTGACGGATAAACTCGCCTTCGACGTGGGTCTTCAAGAAGATGCTTCAGGTACGTGACGTGGCTGAGCTCTCAAGGGAACATTTGGGTTTTCTTACAGAGGATGCAGAGGGTTGGACTAGACCAGGGGTGTCCAACCTTGGCAACTTTAAGACTTGTGGACTTCAACTCCCAGCAAAGCTGGCTGAGGAATTCTGGGAGTTGGAAGTCCACAAGTCTTAAAGTTGCCAAGGTTGGACACCCCTGGACTAGATCCACAGGGGTGGGATGCAAATATTTTTACTACCAGTTCTGTGGGCATAGCTAGGTGGGCGTGGCCATGTGACTGGGTGGGCGTGGCTTTTTTGGCAGCACCCCTGCCCTCCGCGCTCTGTTTTTGGGGCCTCCTGGGCCTCAGGGAAGCCTCGCGGGCGAAGCAGTAAGACAGCGAGGGAGATCTCGGCACAGCTGATCGTTGGGAGGGGGGAAAGAAATAAAAGAAATACTCGTTCACCTGAACCGGTAGCTGGTTTTTTTTTTTTACTACTGGTTCAGCCGAACGGTAGCATTTTTGCTACCGGTTCACTTGAACCGAGCTGAACCGGTAGAATACCACCACTGGGCTAGATGACCTTTGAGGTCCCTTACAGCCCCGCAGTTCTATGGGAGGGTTTGAAGGGATGGGGAGGAAGGATTTTCCTTATGAAACTCTACATGGGTCTGTTCTAATTTTTCTGGGTTTCCCCCCCTCCACACCAAGAATTTTAAGCAGCTTAAAATAAATGCATTTTGGGTTAGGTATTTATGTATTCGTAGTTATTGATACTCCTTATATGCTTTATTTATGCTCTGGGCAGTGTGTACAATTTATGCATTGTTGTTCTTGTTCTCATTTTCTTATTCTCCTCCTTAGACTCCAACCCAGGTAACTTGATAGCCCTTCCCTTGCAACCCCATTCGTTTAGTGAATTGTTAAGGTTATGACAAGCACCGAAAAACAGTGACTTACAGCCTGTCTTCACACTTATGGCCATTGCTGCATTTCCCATGGGAAATGCAGGCAGATGGCTACCAGCATGTACAGCTGGTCCTCGACTTACAACGGTTCGTTTAGTGACCGAAGTGACAACGGCACCAGAAAAAAGTGACATGACCATTTTTTCACACATGGGACCATTGCAGTAGCACCTCCCGCGGTCACCGCGATTTACATTCGGATGCTTGACAACTGACTCACGTTTATGACAGTTGCAGTGTCCCCCGGGGATCATGGGACCAATTTTCATGACCTTCTGACCAGAGAAGTCAATGGGGGGGGAGGAGCCAGGTTCATTTAACGACTGCGTGACTACATTTAACAACTGCAGTGATTCGCTTAACGAATGTGGCAAGAACAAAAAAAAAACCTCACTTCGCACGTTTCTCGCTTAGCCACATAAATTCTGGTCTCCATTGCTGTCATAAGTCGAGGACTTATCTGTATTTAAGGACGTTTGTAGCCTCATGGGACTGTCATTTGCCACTTTCCCAGCTGGATTAGCAGAGCTGGATTCTCGTTAACGACTCTGCAGTGATTCGCTTAATAACCGTGACGGGGAAAAAATGGTGCCAAACTGGGGGATGGCTCACTGAACAACCACCTTGCTTAGCGGCGGAAATTCTGCTCCCTGTCATGGTCATAAGTTGAAGACAACCTGCAACCGAAACCGGGTGCCCCATAGAAGCAGAGTTTTGTGATCTGCATGAGTTCTCCAGCCGAGCAGAATTGTTACTCGAGAAATTTCATTCCATACCGAGGCCTCCCTCCATTTGCATATTTGTGCATAATTGTGCATAGTTTACTTTCCCTCTGCACTGGACAAGGAGTTAGCAGCCTGTGTGGGATGCCAAAGCATGATGGGACTAACGAACAAGAAAGAGAAAACTTCTGTCAGGATTCCAGGCAGTTCCCCCCATTTAAACCAAAACTTTAAAAGGATTTATTGGGAGTTAACATGCTGGCACTGCCTGGATGTAACCGACTCTGAGGCACATCATTCACTGTCACCCTTGACCCTGGTTTTCCCCCATGCCCTGGGTGTATCGTAATCCATATTCTCCAATGGGACAGATCCATAGCCAAGAATCATCAATCATGCTCTCCAGTTAGATATTTGTGCAGCAGAAACTTCAGTCACCTAGTTACTATCTTTGAAAACATTTATGGAATGCACTTTCGGTTTCGCAAGCTGCCGCGCTGCTCCCCCCTCCCTTTCTGTTGGCAACTCTAAAAAGACCATGGAAATATTTTATGAGTTGACACCCTCTTTGCCTCGCCTTCCGAAACTGCCTCGGCGTTGGCTGCCGTCTTTCTCTTCGGAAAGGCTGGCCTACCCCCGCCAGGCTGACTGGGGGAAGGAATGCTGCATGGCTGTGGGGGAAATGTGCTTGGATTCTCGGCGGCCATTTGCATAGCCGCCCACCATTCTCCCTTCTCCCCTCCGCAGGGGAAGCGTGTTGGTGGACCATCCACCCTGCCTCGAAGCAGCGGTCGGAAGGGGAGAAGGTGCGCGTGGGGGACGACCTCATCCTCGTCAGCGTCTCCTCCGAGCGGTATCTGGTGCGTGTACCAAAATGGCGACCGTGCCTTTGAGGCGGATGTTCGGGTTGGGGGTGGGGTAGGCCGGTTTTCCTTGGCAATTTTTAAGACAGGTGGACTTCAACTCCCAGAATTCCCTAGCCAGCCAATACTGGCTAGGGAATTCTGGGGTGTTGACATCCACCTGTCTTAAAGTTCCACAGGTGGAGAAACACGGTCTTCAAGAAAAGGGATTATTTATTTATTGGTTACATTTTTAAAAATCTATATTACTTTAGAAGGAACTCAAGGCATCGAATATAGCCAATATGGCTTCCTACTCTTGTTTTCCTCACAACAACCCTCTGAGATGGGTTGGGCCAAGAGAGAGAGAGAGAGAGAGAGAGAGAATGATTGGATCAAAGTCACCCAATCAGCTTTCATGACTAAGGCGGTACTAGAACTCACTGTCTCCTGCTGATTGTTCCAAAGTTACCCAGCAGCTTACAGGCCTAAGGCAGGACTAGAACTCTCAGTCTCCTGGTGATTGGCCCAACGTCAGCCAGCTAGCTTTCATGGCTAAGGCGGGTCTAGAACTCCCAGTTTCCTGGTGTCAGCCAGCTAGCTTTCATGGCTAAAGCGGGACTAGAACTCACAGTCTCCTGGTGATTAGCCCAATGTCAGCCAGCTAGCTTTCATGGCTAAAGCGGGACTAGAACTCCCAGTCTCCTGGTGATTGGCCCAACGTCAGCCATCTAGCTTTCATGGCTAAGGTGGGACTAGAACTCACAGTCTCCTGGTAATTGGCCCAAAGTCAGCCAGTTGCTTTCATGTCTAAGGCGGGACTAGAACTAATTGTCTCCTTGTGATTGGCCCAAAGACATCCAGCTAGCTTTCATGGTTAAGGTGGGACTAGAACTCACAGTCTCCTGGTGATTGGCCCAAAGACATCCAGCTAGCTTTCATGCCTAAGGCAGGATTAGAACTCCCAGTCTCCTGGTGATTGGTGCAAAGTCAGCCAGCTAGCTTTCATGGCTAAAGCGGGACTAGAACTCCCAGTCTCCTGGTGATTAGCCCAATGTCAGCCAGCTAGCTTTCATGGCTAAGGCGGGACTAGAACTCCCAGTCTCCTGGTGATTGCCCCAAAGACATCCAGCTAGCTTTCATGCCTAAGGCGGGACTAGAACTCACAGTCTCCTGGTGATTAGCCCAACATCAGCCAGCTAGCTTTCATGCCTAAAGCGGTACTAGAACTCCCAGTCTCCTGGTTTCCAAGCCAGCATCTTAACCACAGTGAAACACCATCTTCAGCACCTGTTGTGGTTGCTTTACTTTAATTGAACCTTGCTCTGAGAAACCAACAATCTCCCCCCCCCCCCCCCCCCCCCCCCCCCCCCCTCTTTCCTTCCGGCCTGACCATTGTGACGGGGGGTGGGGGGCGGGTGTCTTTGTCTCCTCCAGCACTTGTCCACCGCCAGTGGAGAACTTCAAGCTGATGCATCCTTCATGCAAACGCTTTGGAACATGAATCCCATCAGTTCTGGCTGCGAAGAAGGTGCGCGGTGTTTTCTTGTGGGTGGGATAGAGTTTCTTTGGCCTTCAAAGATTTCCGATACGATGAGGTTTTCAGTGAAGGTGGCCCTATGGGTTGCCATCTCGGGATCTGGAGATGGTTTTGGACTCACACTGCCGTCTCGTCTCTCTCTGCCCCCCCCCCCAAGGGTATGTGACTGGCGGCCATGTCATGCGCCTCTTCCACGGCCACATGGATGAATGCCTCACCATCTCCACCACGGACCAGAATGAAGAGCAGCGCAGGTAGGTCTCTTGAATAGAGCCAGGAATGAATCGGCAGGCCTTAAGACAGGGGCTATCAAACTTGACAGCTTTTAAGACTTGTGGACTTCAACTCCCAGAATTCCTCCTCCTCCAGTCATGTTAGCTCGGGAATTCTGGGAGTTGAAGTTCACAAGTCTTAAACTTGCCAAGTTGGAAGACCCTTGCCTTAACAGAACAGAATACCAGAGTTGGAAGGGACCTTGGAGGTCTTCTAGTCCAACCCGCTGCTTAGGTAGGAGACCCTAAAACGTCCACTTTTGGAGCACCTACAATTCCTGGAAGCAAGTTGTGGCGTGTGGAGTGCGCAGTCGACCACATTCACAAGTCATATTGGCCAGATTCAGAGGTTGCGTGAAGCCATAAACCAAGACTCTCTAAAGTTGGCAGAATTTCAGACTTGTGGACATGGCCCATGGCTGAGGAATTCTGGGAGTTGAAGTCCACAAGTCTTAAAAGTGGCCAAGTTTGGAGTCGCCCGCCATAAACAGATCCCTGGAAAACGTCGCCTAAAGTGGGAACTTGGCCGTGGAATCCTACTCAGGGATCCGTTAGCTAAATCCTATCCCCTTTTTCAAATGTTCCTCTGCAGGCTGGTCAACTATGAAGGAGGTCCCGTTTGTTCCCAGGCCCGATCACTCTGGCGCCTGGAGCCCCTGCGCATCAGGTAGGCTGGGCTTTTTTCCATGCTTTGGTCTTCACCTTCTCCCTTATCTTGGACCAGTGGTGGGACCACTGGTTCTGTGGGCGTGGCTTGATGGGCGTGGTGTGGCTTGGGTGTGGTTTGATGGGCGTGGTGTGTCTTGGGCCTGGCTTGATGGGTATGGCTTGGCGGGTGTAGCAGGGGAAGGTTACTGCAAAATCCCCATTTCCTCCCCACCCCACTGACCTGCTTTTCAGCTCTCTTCTCCTGTGCAGGGCAACCAAAGAAGACCCAGCCAATCAGATGGGACTCAGGAGGCAGAGAAGAGATGGGGCGGGGCCAGACAGAGGCGGTATTGGCCGGTTCTCCAAACTACTCAAAATTTCCGCTACCGGTTCTCCAGAACCGGTTCGAACCGGCTAAATACCACCTCAGCTGGGACTGGAGGCGGAGAATAGATGGGGGCGGGGCCAGTCAGAGGTGGGATTTGCCGGTTCTCTGAACTACTCCGAATTTCGCTACCGGTTCTTTAGAACCGGTCCAAACCGGCTGAATACCATGTCTGTGTCAGTGTTCCAGCAAACCTCCATTCCCATCAGTAACTCCAAGACAAGCATAATCTCAAAAGTACCTTTATTAGAATAGCACCTGGCACATCTGTGGAATCCCAAATCTAACATTTTCGGGCTTTCCACAAATTCCCAAACTATCCCCTCTCGGTTGTCATCACACCACATGGCCTAATCATGATCCGTCCAAAAGTAAGATCCTTATTTCATCCTGCGCCATACTAAATAAACTAACAGAAGAATGTTATTTTGTCTACTTAGAGCTACTTAATTGAATTCACCCACCACCCCGCCACTTTCTCAGGCTATGTGGCAGTATGGAATATGGCTTTCAAAGCTGATACTCTGCCTTGGACCTTCGGTGAAGCTTCTCATGCCACGCTGGTGTTCATTTGCTTGGGCATGAGAAAAGAAAATTAAAATCTGACTTGGGGGTAGGCTGGCCTGTATCCATGTTGTACTAAATTGTGACTTATCTTTGGCTTATGGGATCAACCACCTTTAGAAGGGAATATTTCCATCTTTGGAAACCATCTTTGGTTGGTCGACCGTGACGTGCTAAGCCATCAACAAGAAGATACTGACCATCTTCATCCCAAACTAAACCAAACAGTGTCTTCCTTATTGTTAAAGTTGGGGTTCCTTCTGTCCTAACAGCTGGAGTGGCAGCCACATGAAATGGGGTCAACCCTTTCGTGTCCGTCATGTCACCACGGGACGCTACTTGGCCCTGACTGAGGAGAAGGGGCTGGTGGTGGTGGACGCTGAGAAGGCCAACACCAAAGCAACATCGTTCTGCTTCCGGGTCTCAAAGGTGAGAGGTCACCTCATGTTAGGGGCTGATCCTGCCCAGAAGGGGCTTTAAAAGAGTTTGAAATTCTGGACTACAGTTTCTCTTGGGGAGATTGAAAGTGCATTTCTCTAGCTTGGGGACTTCCAGACCTGTGGACTTCAACTCCCAGAATTCCTCAAGCAGCATGCTCCCTGTGGAGAATTCCAGAACTTCCGAGTCCACACATCTGGAATTGCCCAGAGTGAGAAATTTGAACGTACGTTTTTCAGAAGTGCATGGTGTTTTTCTGAACTCGGTGGTTTGGCTTGCAGACATTTCATTACCCAGCTAGGCAATTTCATCCGTGCCATTCTTTCATATGGGCCTGTAGTGAGTAGGTGGAGTCCCTCTGCGTTTGTGTTTTAAATGTCTCTCACATTGTGGAACAGCTTAGGGGATTTCACTGAATTTCTACTCCTGTAGGAGAGAAGGAATGGCAGAAACAGTGGGGGGTGGGGGTGGCGTTAAAAGAGAGATTAGCCTAGAATCCCTAAGGTAAATGTAAAAGTTCCCCTCACACATAGGTGCTAGTCATTTCCATCTTTAGTGGGCGGTGCTCATCTCCATTACAAAGCCGAAGAGCCAGCGCTGTCTGAAAACATCTCCGTGGTCATGTGGCCGGCATAACTAAAGCCAGAAGGCGCATAGAATGCTGTTACCTTCCCATTAAAGGTGGTTAGACGGCGCTAGGGATTCGAACCGCCGAACTGCCAACCTTTCTGATTGACAAGCTCAGCGTCTTAGCCACTGAGCCACCGAGCATCCCCCTCTAGAATCCCCACATAGCCGCAAAGGAACCTCCCTTGAATTCCACTGACCCTTATCGAACTCCAAGCAGGGGCTAACCTTAGTGGAGAAGATTCCTGCGCGTGGGCCTTTTAGCAATAATTCCGTTCCCTTGGATCTTCCCAGCGTGGGTCTGCTCTGTCGTGCCTGACATCTCCTTCTCCTCCCTCTCTCTTT